CGCGCCCCGCGCCCGCCAGGGGGCGCCCGCCCCGCCCCGGCCGAGACCCCTGCCCGGCTCTTGGGGGAGTCAACCCCGGCGCGGGGAGGCCTCCTGCTCAGGGACGCTGCAGTGACGCACCCGAGGCCCCTCAGGGTCCGTATCTAAGCCTAGATCCCCGGCCCGCCCCCTTCCAGGGCCAGGGGACCTTCCGGCTCCACGTCCCTCTCCAGGGGCTCCAGGCCTGCGCCTCCCGCCCCCCTGGAGGACTCCCGCATAGCGCCCCAAGGTGGTCGCTGTCCACAGAGCGCTCTGGGGGGATGCTGGGCGACGCTCGGCCTCCTGCAGGTCATCACTCCGCCCGCAGCGAGAGGAAGGGAAGGGACTTGCTGGCCCCAGGACCTGCTCCCCGCGGACAGGGGCAGGCAGGCTGCTTGAGGAGACTGAGGCTGCCGCCTTTTCGCCGTTTGCTCTCCCTGCCCAGGGCCAGTCCGGCCTCTGCACAGGGAGCTAGGAGTTGAGTTGGCACCTGCTGGCCGGGAGGTTGGAGGGTCGATTCGTCCCCATGGCCAACAGAGGGCAGCGGAGGGCAGGCTGGCCCCGGCGTGCAGGGGAGACCCTGTGGAGGGTTCCTTCCGACGGCTCCTCACCAGCCTCGGTTTCCCCACCTGTGAATGGCAGGGGGTAGGGCTGTGTGGTGTCTAGTGTCTGGGACACATGGAGAGCTCACCCTACAGTGAATGACAGACCTCAGGGTCTGCAGCTCCCCACCGCCTCACAGCTCCTTCATAGCAGGAGAGATGATCCCAGACTGGCAGGGGACAGTGCGAGCCACCATCCTAACCTGCAGCTCGAGACACTGCCTCCTCCTTGGTCAGCCCAGGGGCATAGATCAGGGCAGGAAGCCACTGGCAGACCTTTCCCATGAGCCACTGCCTCGACCCGCCAGCTACCCCCACCTCGGGTAGGAACAAGCCCTGTGCCCCTGCCCCAGGGGCTTGGCCCGTCCCGATCCTTGCAACACCATAGGCTCACCGCCAACCTCTCTTCTTGCCCCACATGCAGCCTGTCACAAGGAACTCCCCTGGCTGCAGTGGGGGTCGTCAATGCCCAGCCCCCTCAATGCCCATGCTGCCACCAGCCACCAGAGGGAACTCCAAAGCACAAATCAGAGGCTATCTCGCTGCCCGGGAAACCCCTCCAGCCTGAGGGCTTATGGGATGGGGCACCTCCGACCCCCGGCCAGGTTTCCAACCTCAGTTTTCTGCTCTCCACCCATCTGGGCTTTGAGGGGGTCAGGGCGGGCTCTCCAACAAGGTCCCATTTGGCAAATGCTGAAGGAAGTGGGGGGGCGAGCAAGCAAGGCAGACCTGGCACGGGGGAGCACGTCTGGGCGGGCGGGGTCCCTGGGGTCAGGAACAGGAAGCCTGATGGTGGGGGATGACAGGGCAGATATGGGGCTCTGCCACCTCACAGACTCGACCACACAGCACTCCGTGCCCGTTTGCTTCTTTATTGTCTAGTGCCTCCCTCCCTCCCTGCGTGTATGGCGGCTGCAAAGAGCCCAGGACAGGCTGGTGTGTTCATCGTGGTGTCCCCAGGGCCGGCGCGGGTCTGTGCGCAGGGTCTCTAGAACTGTGGAAGGAGCGGGGCCATGTGCCTGCGTCTCCAGAACCAGGGCACTTCAGTGACAGGGGAGGTCTGGGGGGCCTGGTTTGGCCCCCACAAACTGCAGGCTGAGATGCCTTCACACTCTTTCAGGCCCACGTCTGGGGGTGGCCGGCCCTGACCTCAGCAGCCTGTCCTCTTGGTTGTTGGTTTGCAGTTGTTCCAGCAGCTGGCCGGTGCAGGGGTGGAACCCTGGACATTGGTGTTTTGTGCACCACGCTCTGACCCCCTGCGCCAGCAGGCCAGCCTTTCCCTTTTAAGTCAGCACCAGCAACGTGCACCCCCATAAATTCCCTCCCAGATCTTGCCTCTTCCCCCAAATGCCTGCTCCAGTGCCCACCGCAGCCCCCTCCTCCAGCCTCCCCAGCCCTCACCCTCGCTTCCTGGCCTCTGACCTCAGCTCTGCGTCACCTGATGGTTGCCCCTGGGGGCCGGATGCCGGGTGGTTTGATTTCAACACCCAGCTCTTCCACGCATGCCGGCCTCCCTCAGCCAGCGGGAGCTCAGTCCTGGAACCAGCCCTCCAGGTCCTCATAGACATGGCCGCGGGGCAGGTGAGGGTAGCGGGCACAGATGGTGCAGAAGCGCTCCCGCCAGTCTGCGAGCAGCCGCACGCGGAGCCTGTCCCTCCAGGCAAAGAAGCGGCGATAGCGGCTCTCGTTCATGCCCGTGAGGAAGGCGGCCAGCTCGCGGGCCGAGCCGAAGTCGTCTACGTGCACGAAGGCGTCGGGGGGTGCGAAGGCCTCGTAGGTGGCCCGCGGGGGCCCCAGCACCACCGGCACGGCGCCGGCCACCAGCGCGTTGCGCCAGAACTTCTCGGTGATGTAGTCTCGGTGCTGTGAGTTCTCGAAGGACAGGTAGAAGCGGTACCGGGCCACGGTGGGCAGCAGGCAGTCGGCGCACAGGGGCCGCCCGTTGGCGCGGCCGAACACGTCCACCCGCAGGTGAGGCGCCAGCTGCCGGTACAGCCCTGCGCGCCGCTGCCGCGCCTGGAAGGTGCTGACCACCCAGGCGGCCAGCCCGCTCTTGGCCGGCCGCGCCGGCGCCGGGCCCCAGCGCCGCGCCCCGGACACC